GTACTGGTTTGCACTTGCTTTGGCTGCTTACATAGCCTGGTGGGTATTTTTGGTTGTTTACAGCACAAATTTAGACTAAATGCTGTTTAAATTTATGTTTCTAGACACTCTGGTGTAAATAAGATATTTTATGATCTAGTAACACTATAATAAGTATTAACCTGTTGTTTCAACAATTGTACATTACACCAAATTATTTGCTGCAGTACAGATTATTGCTGTATACTCCCTCCATTCAATGGTGTATTTTGGTTGAACATATTCACCTTATTGTACTATGAAATTTGATTTGTCAGTTTTGATCTCCAATGCAATAATTAATGACAAATTTTTTGAAATAGACTGTTAAGACCACATTGTAGGTGAGTGGGGCCAAGGGGAGAGAGAAGCTAGAATAGAGTCTTATGGTTGCAGTGGCACACAAAAGTGGTCTTATGATAGTAAGACGGTCTTACACAAATATTGGACATAACTAACAAGTTCTTAAAATGTGTGCATAACCTTTAAAGACAAAACATGGGAGCAGAGGGAGATGTTTGATGTAATTTCGAATGTTTTAGTCAGACAGTGACCAATTGCATTTTGTGTTCTATTGCTGACTGTTTATTAGGAGTAGAAAATCATTCTAAAACAATTTAGAAGTTCTTTCCCCACTTCTTATTAATAGTTTTATTACATGCTCTTTTCCTACAATTATATACTCTTTTCCACGCTTTGAAAATGCCCAACGATATTTACTCATATTTGGGTAGATTCTTGGATGTGTTGTAGTTGACTTATATTGAAAATAATGCATATTGCAGCAAGACAGAATGAAAGGATAAGGTCATGATGTCAGAAGATAAGTTTCCTGCTCATCGATAGAAGTTTTGTATCTCTCTTTGATCATCAGGGATCCTGCCATGAATGTTTAGTCAAACTTCCTGTGAATAGCTAGATTTTGTAAGAAGTGTCAGCAGTTATGAGCTTTGGACTTTAGATGAGATCCAAGCGCAGGTCTATGTACATTGTTTTCCAGTAGTTTGCATTGGTAACCATTGAGTTAGAGCTTGACTGCATACCTCATGATTTATCTCTCACTAAATTCAACATGATTCTCCGAAGATGCATTATTCCCTATTTATTGCATCAGACTTTCTTTTGCCCCTTTGCCCTTCTGCTTCTGACAATAACTAACTCTGGCTTGCTTTATCCTGTTACCCTTGGGGTCTTTCTATGTGAATAAAGGTGGATGCCTAGGGTGGTTTGTAGCAGTAATATGGTGACTTAAGTTGGTGTTACGGTTTCCTATTGTCTTCCAGTAGTGTGCATTGTTTTTATTGAGCTGGAGCTTAACTGAATACATGGTTCTTATTACAATATGCTGCTATAGGATTTATCTTTTTGTTTACCTTGTGCATGACTGAATCATACAGTTGACCATTATTATTCACCACCTATATTGTCTTCAGAAGAAAAAAATATTGCTAGCAAATTGTTATGTTCTAGTTGCTTCTTTTCTTCAAAATACAAGCTACTATATAAAGATTGGCTGCTTGTTAAAAGTCACCTTTGGTTAGCTTCTAGCAGTTGCCAGGAATCTTTCTAGATCTTGTGTCTTTACATGATTGTTTTCAATTCTTTGATCTGACACCTCTTTCAGTAAACCTTTTTTTTTTTACACAAACTGCTCTTGTTGCTTGTGCAGTTTGAACTTATTTGATCATCTTTGTTGATCATTTTGATGGCCCGCCAATAATTTTTGTGATGACATCTCTATCCTTGAGGTTTGTTATCTGATTCTATGTGATGGAGATTAATTGGTAAATGTGACTATTCTAGGTTGAGACCTTGTTAGACAGTGTCAAGTGGGATGATAAAGGTTTAGCAGTCGCTATAGCTCAAAATGTGGATACTGGAGCTATTTTAATGCAAGGCTTTGCTAACAGGGAAGCGCTTGCCACTTCTATTTCTTCTCGCAAGGCAACTTTCTACAGCAGATCAAGGAAACAATTGTGGATAAAGGGAGAGACATCTTCTAACTACATTAATGTACATGACATTTTTCTAGATTGTGACCGTGACTCGGTATGTATTGTGTGTACTGCCTTTTTTTTTTTGATAAATCTTCTATTATCTTATTGTTTGCTTAGAAGCACTAATTTGTGTTTCAGATTATATACCTGGGGAAGCCTGATGGACCAACTTGTCATACTGGAGCAGAAACTTGTTACTATTCCTCCGTTTCCAGCATTGTGGAAAATCCTCAGGTATACTGTGTGCCCATGGCACCACCCTGTGGCACATGCAACTTTTCCAGGCCAGAGTTTTATATTTAATTGAAGAAATTTTGATGCATTATGGCGTGGTCTTTAGGTTGAAAAAGACATATTGGCCATGACTACATTGTACTCACTTGAATCAACAATTTCTGAGCGGAAAGATGAAATAGTAAGAAAGATGGAAAGCAAACCTTCATGGACGAAAAAGTTATTGCTTGATGAAAAATTGCTCTGCTCAAAAGTCAGGTTTGTGACCTTACCTAATATAACTTCAGGTTTTCAGCCATATTAGTCTAATTAGATTCCAAACAAGTAGAATGACAGGCTCAATGCTTTGGTAAAATAACTTGGGTGACTTGGGTGTACGACCTTTAGTCTTCTCATTAATTGTCCTTTTTAGAAAACCTGTAAAAGAAAATTTATATAGAGGGTTCTTGTTCACCATTTTTATATCTCAGGGAAGAGGCAGATGAGTTGTGCCGCACACTAGAAAATGACGAGGAGAAGTCTCGAGCTGCTTCAGAGATGGCAGATGTGCTTTATCATTCTATGGTTCTTCTGGCACTTAAAGATGTGAAGATGGAGGATGTCCTTGAAGTCCTCCGAAAAAGATTCTCCAAATCAGGAATAGAAGAGAAGAACAGTCGCTAATTATGATACTAAGTATCAAGCTTTTTGCAAGCAGATGTTGTACTGACTAGACATGTGATCTACTCTCTACCACCTCTTCTTCTATCTTATGGAAATTGACACTGATATCAGGCGAGCCTTGCTTTGATTTATCATTTGGTCAAGAAAATTATTGATTTTTGTAGTGCCATGGATAATTTCATATGGACATGTGAAACTCTACATGTTGTATTTCTTAAGGTACACTGTGAATATCTGAATAATGTTAGTTACTCTGTATCTAACTTTGGTATATGTACAATGGTTTAATAAATACGTAGTACTATTGTCTATGACATCGTCATTTGCTCCAATATGATGCAGATTGTTGGTGAGTGAGAATTTGAGAGATGCTTTCATAAATGTATATATATATATACTAGTAACTGTAATTTATTTCATTTCCAATGTTGTATGTCACAGGATACAATGAGAGAGGGATATTCTTACCATATTATGCTTAAATATGATGTACTTCACCATATTCTTTGTTGTTTATGAAGAATATGGCAATTTATAGCTTCTTGGGCTAGCAGCCGGAGCATTTGGCAGCTCATCTCCTGTGCAATTGGCCAAACATTTAAGGTTTGCTTGTCCACAGCCAGTAATACAATCGAATATATCTGGCGTCGCATCCATGATACACTTCCCTGCACACCCAACAATGTCGGTTCCACAGTCGATAAAGCATTCAGGCATTGGCTTAGCAATTACCTCAGAGAGTATCACTGAAGTCATTGCTAGAATGCAGAAGACGAATTTTGCTTGGGAATTCATAGTTCAACTCTTTTTTTTTTTCTTGAACTCCTTGGTCTTTTTGAATGTGTTTGTTTTGTTTTGCTTTGTGTTGTTTTGTGAATTCATCCCAGTTTTACGATATGTATATATACTATGTCTTGGGATGACTATAACTGTATCTAAGCATGTTGCATATGGGATTATCCTTTGTTTGATTATCTTAATGGTGTGATTAGGGATGGAAGTTTTGGTTGAACTCTTTTTACATTGCGTATTACACTCATAACTCAAATCATCCAATTGACGTGATAATTTATTCTACATTAAAGAATGAGAAGAATGAATTATTAATCACAAATGAGAGGTATTAGTGTATTACTGTGTAGTGTGTACATTCATATAAAATACTCCCTACGTATCATATGCCAAGAGCTTAATTTGCAAGAAGTTCCCAATATTTTACCAACAATTTTTCAGTGATTAAGTTCTTTGTACCAATAATTTCTCTAGCGTTAAATAAAAACAATTTCGACGATTTTGTTGCGACAAAGGGAGTAACTGAATAAGCGATTTGGACCTAGGCTAAAGTCAAAACAAAATCGTGCTTTCACTCGTATAGACAACAATATAATTAATGGTAGACACAAACAAGGCTAATAATTTTGATGGTATTGGATTAACACTCAAAAAAATTGATAGTATCATATTAAGGGTTACGATTGGCCCTATGAAGGAAATGTAGAAATGACAAGGCCTCAAAAATCTTGGAAAGGAATGTAAGCGATTCATTATAATTAACATTTTAGTACAACTAACCTAATTTTTTAAAACTTATTTAAATGATTCATATATTGGGTGGTATTTGTAAATCAAACTTAGATTTAAGGTGAAAAGAATAGGTGATGACACCATATTTGTTTTCACAAACTATACTCGCTGTAATGTGTAACAAAGGTTGTAGTCAATGGATATTGCTAGTTGTGGAAGTAACATAAGAGGAGAAAGAGAGCATGACAATAGGAGTGTGAGTTACCCCTTTTTTCGGATTGAAGGGTTAATATGAGATACGAGTACCCTGTAAGGGAAGACCATCAACAATTTGATTACCACCTCTGCTTGTACTAATCTTAAAAACATCCTAGATTCTTTTTGTGACATCTCTGGCCATCTAGTAAATTTTCACAAATCTTTAATTATTTTCTCAAGAAACATCCCTAATGGCCGAAGAAACATCCTTAGCTCCAAATTTTAACATGACCCCTAAAGCCTCCCTTGGTAGATATTTAGGCGTTTTCTTTAGTTCTTATTATCCAATGAAGAAAGATTATAAAAATGTCATGCAAAAAACTAAACAGCGTATCCAACATTGGGAAGTCGGTTTCTTATCAAAGGCAGGTAGACATACACTTATCCAAAGCAATTTGGAAGCTAAAGAGTTCGTACCTCCTTCCTAGTTACCTCTGCTCATCTTCCCTCCTTCCTAATGATGTAGCTAAAGAGTTAGACTCCCTTCACCGAAAATTCTTTTGGAGACAAGAGAAAGATAAAAACTGCATCCCCCTTATCGCTTGGGATAAGATTTGTAGACCAAAAAATGCGGGTGGGCTAGGTCTCCGACGAACAATGCCTCTTAACAACGCATTCATTGCAAAGTTAGGGTGGAAAATTATCTCCGAACCTAATAGTCTATTGGTTAAAATCATTAGAGATAAATATCTCTGCAATAAATCCTTCTTTGAATGCATTCCAAATGTTAAAGATTCTTATATTTGGAGGAAAATCCTTGCCCAATGGGAAATTTTAAGAAAAGGAATTCGATGGAAGATTGGAAATGTAATGGATATACACTTTTGGATTGATAATTGGGCCACCAACCAAAGCTTACTTGAACTGCGTACTTCATATGGATCCAAATCAAGTAGAGTTAGACACAAAAGTGTCAGACTTCATTCTCCCTAATAAACAATGGGATAGACAACAGCTATGCTCCTTCCTCCCAGACAATATCATTTCTCAAATATTAGGAATTCCATTACCAAGTAGCACGATGCTAGATATGCCGGTGTGGGGTCTTACTTCGTCTGGCAAATTTACAGTAAAATCCGCCACATGGCTTGCCCATAATCTTGACCTTGATGATAAATGGGAACATCGTTAGATATGGAAATTAGATATCCCTCCTAAGCTCCAAATTTTCTTGTGGCAAATTCTTCATAATAGTCTAAGCGTTCGTGATACCCTTCACAAAAGAAACGTAATTCCTTTTAGTGACTGTGGTTTGTGTAATGTTCATAGTGAAATAGTGAACCATCTCTTTCTCTCGTGCATACATTCTAAAGATGTTTGAAACCATACCTTAGTTATGAATTGGTTGGATTGCACAGTTCCCTACACTAATTTAGTTGAATAACTTTTATGCTTAAAAAAAGACAAACTAATCATTAGGAAATTTATCTTCCTTACTTGGAGTATTTGGAAAGAGCGTAATTCTATAATTTTCCGTCAAGAACCCTTTGATATTTCTAGAATTTACCACCGAGCGCAATTTGCATTCAATGAGTAGCACTTCAGAATTCTCACCAATGTCTTTTCTTCATTGGGATCTCCGATCTACTCCACCTTCTCATTCTCCAACAAACACTATCATGGTTGCCTGGGAGGCGCCACCAACAAATTTCTACAAACTCAATTTTGACGCTTTAGTATTCAACAAGTCAGCAGCAGCAGGGATTCTCATCAGAGACAACAGTGGGATAGTTTTAGGAGCTCGCACTTTCAACCTCGGCACCACCAAGGTTTTCATAACAGAGGTCATGGCTCTTCATAAAGGCATTCTTCTAGCTCTTCATAAAGGCATTCTTCTAGCTCTTGAGCGTGGGATCAAAAATATTATAATTGAAGGTGATAATCTTTTAGTAATCAACTCTGTTAAAGGCATCTGGTCAACACCATGTCAAATTGATCATATTGTTAAAGACATTTGTTCTCTTCTTAGAAATTTCGATAACTGAAGCATTTGTCATATTTTTCGGGAGGCAAATCAAGCAGCGGACTGGATAGCAAATGTTGGTCATTTAGTAAGTGATAGTATGGATATAGTTCCTTGTAATAATTCTTCTTTATTTCCCCATCCTTTCTTCCAACGTATTAGGAATTCCCCTCGTGTGGAGGGTTTCCTAATGTTTACTTTTTTCTTACCATTGTTAAAAAAAATAAAATTATTTATTCAATTTCTTTTTCCTTCATGTAGAGAATAAGAGATCTTGACTTCAAGTAGCAATTTTACAAGTAGTTATATAGACATCGGTGCTTTAAAAAAGTAGCTTTGGAATGAAATTATGCTCCTACTTCTTATACGATCTACACACGTTTACAATATTGTAAAAGAAAAAACACGAATATCTAAACATGTATGAAACATGATGAATGCGGGTTTCGTCCTCTTCATACTTTTTTCAATTTCAAGATATCAATAGTCAAAATCAACCCTATTTTTTACTTTTCTTTTAACATTCAAGTTTATTACAAAACTTATTAATGTTTGTTTTTAAAAATTTGATAACCAAAAATTTAAATCTAACATTCCTACTTAATGTATCTATGGATGTGACCGTGTGAATGAGCCAATATGTTCACAAACTACTGATGAACAAACTTGGTCAAAACTCGTTTGTTAAATAACAAACAAGCTTAAACAAAAATCTTAAGCTCGTAATAAAAAAGAACAAAGCTCGAACAACATCATATTCGACTTGATATTGCGTGTGAAAAACTCGATTATAAGTTTATTCATGTAAATTCTAACTCGGTCAAATCTCACTGAAGCTAAAAAATCTCTATTATATTAAAACTACTTGATTGTATTATACATCTTAACTCATACATATTTGTAAAATTACAAATTATTTCATCCTATATAGGCATGAAAGCTCTTGCATTACCTTTTGTCTATAAAGAAAGCAAACTTCTCATATGAAATTAACTAGATATATTAATACATTATAAAATAAAAATAAATTAAAACATTTAAAAAATAATTTCCATAATAGATTAGGGCTCATTTATTCAATTAAGATCGATTTAAGCTTGTTCAATCAAAATACAAACGAGCACGTTCATGAACAAAGCTCGAAGGCCTCGAATAAGTCAAATCCTTAACGAGACAAGCTCGAACAAGACTTTTAAAGCTTGAACAATAATACTCTGTATTATTTATCAAGCTTAGATCAAACATATTATAACTTAGCTCAACTTGGATCGTTTGCGACCCTCATATAAAACTAACCTAGTGATTATTTTGGATATTCCTACAAGTTGTAGTCCTTGACTCTTGAAGAATCAATAACATAATACTAAAAGTTGTAGTCTCGACTCTTGAAGAATCAATAACATAATACTAAAAGCGAATCTAACATGACACTTGTCATGTTCTGATTAAAAGTTTTCCCGCCATTTTTTATTTATTTTTTAAATTATAAATCTTCATGAGTATTAATTTATATATCCCATATTATTTGACTTTTAATTTGGCAACTAAATACGAAGTATATTCTATACGCATTCAATGAAAATATTTTAACATATCTTTTATATATTTTATAATAGATATTTGATAAACAAACATATATTACGTATACATTAATATATATATTAGAATAATGTACTCCTATATTCCGTATCATTCTACGTATATTTTCTTTCAAAGTTTTTTTTTTGCTACAATCAAGATTGACACTTTAGCCTTTATTACATATTGTTGATTTATTTATAATAAAACACTACAATTCACTAATTATAAATATATATATAAAAAATTGATTATTAATTGTCCCAAAAAATTAGTCAATTAAATTTGTATAAAACATTTTGCCGATTAAATTAAGTATGCGATAAAATATTATGCCGGTCAAAATATGCCAATAAAATAGGGACATATATATAAGTACATTGCATGAGTTATAACTAACATAAAATTTCATTCTTATATAAAACGCTATAATTGTTTCAAAACAAATATAAACCCTATAATCATTAAAATTGCGTTTTTTTAAATTTTTTTTTGATATTAATATAATATGAAATTCAAGTTAGTTTTTTTTGAAAAGAAGTTCAAGTATTTGTTTTAATTAAAAAAATTAATTTTTAAAAAAATTTATTGTTAAATTGACATTGTAATTCATAATTATATTAAATAAAAACCGTGCGTTGCAAGGGACTTAAACTAGTGAAGATTGTAAAGTCAAGTCCATATTTGTTATGTTATAAAAGGAGTGGGCTGTAAACCAGTTACAAAGTGGAGGCTTTGGCCCAAAAACAACAGAAACCGACTTTTACCACCTCAACAATTAAAACCCAGTCAAACCCTAGAAAAACCCTAACTCCCCCAATCTCTCTCTCTCTTATAAATTCGATTCCCAGATCCTTTTCAATTCATTGTCTCCGCCTCTCTTCTATTCATCAGATTTCCTCTCTCTCTTTCACCGATTTTTCTGGTATTTCTATTTTTTTTTACGATTTTGGTACTTCTATATTATTTTACGAAAATTAGGGTTTTAATGCTTCCGATTTGGGGGAGAATTACAGTGACGACTTCACAAATTCAAGCTCAACAGACCGGATTGCAGGAATTTCTCACTCTTGAGATTTCTTTTGCGTGTCGAAAACCCCGCTGAACTGAGTAATTCTCTCTCTCAATCATCTTTATTTTTTCTTATTTGTTCAATTTTTTTTTTTCCAAATTTTCAGATTGAAACATCGATTTTATTTAGTTTTATTTGATTGATTGGATTGTTTAGTATTTGATGAGGATGATCCAATGAAATATATATAATCCAACACTTGATCCGACTCTTTACGAGTATGAAGTTCATTTTCATTGTTCCTGAATCTTCTTCTCAAATTAGTATCATTGTTTTTTATAATTAATCCGTCTTTTAAAAATTTAATGAATGTGACGGAGATTTATCCGAAAATCTCATTTACATAAAATTGGGGCAAATTAGATGATATTTGTAAATCCCAAAGTAAAAACGTCACAAAGTAAGTTAATTTGATGTTGAGGATCTTTCGGGATTTTCCGTCAAATTAACGGTCTCATATTCCATTGCCTTGAGTAGCGGCGTTGCTGCCTTAATCTTTTGGGACAGGCCATGAGAGTCGACATTTCTTCAATTGTTTTTAATTACTGTTTTCAAATTTAATTATTTTTTTTACTATGTTTAATTATGAATTCATATTTTGAAATTAATTAAATTTATTAGCCAAGGATGAAATCAGTTAAAAAACACCATCTTTCGGGACTGATTAGCCTAAAAGCTTTGTTGACAAAATTCTGCAATTCTGAGGCTTTTTAAATTTTAAATTTGTTCCAAGTTTTAATTTTAATTTCATTTTTTTTAAAAAAATTTGATTTTATAATGCCCTTTTAGCCTGTGATGGCGATAAATATACTTTGAGTAGTAAAATACAATGAAACTAATTTCAATCTGAGGCTTTTTTGGGCTTTCCTAGCAAATTCTATTAGTTTTAATTGAATTTAGTATAGAGTATGTTAATACTTACAAGTGCAGATGATGATAAAACTAGACAGGGACATCAGAAGCTCTTATGAGTATATCTATGTTGATTTGTCTTAAATGGGAATCTCTTTGATGCTACTAATCATGATTTAATTTAATTTCAGGATAGAAAATCATAACTTTACTAATTAAAGCAGTCTCTTTTCTTATTTAAAATTGTGTTTGCCAATGATGTATTGAATGAGAATGTATTATATCAGATTAAAAACTGATGATATCTCTAAATTGTCACTACCTCTGAGGCATTCTAAATCTATAATATGATCAAATAAAATTAAAATTACTTTGATTTTGGAAATTGGTTTGATTTTAAAAGTATGGTTTAGAATGCCTAATGATTGCAAACAAGAACGGAGATATGAATGAAGTCTCTTGTAGTAGCTAAGCGTAATTGATTTTGGCTCCAAGAGCTTCACATGTAATAAAAAATCTTTTGCATTAAGCAATGAAGGCTCTTCATTGTTAAATTCAAAATTTGTTTGTAAAACATGGTATGATTTTATTTGTTGCGGCAACAAATTAGAGTCTCTGATTCGCTTTGATAATAGCGTCTTTAGCGCTGTACGTTGCCAAAAGTATATGGAGTTGGATATTCTGGCATTACCATTATTTACAATGGTTAATGCATTCAAATGTTCCTACATTTCATCAAAATTGGTAAACCATAGTATTACCTTTGATTAATTGTGTAATGTGTTAAATTTGTTTGTTAAGGTGATGGAAATGATGATTATTTCCCCAGATGATCGAAGCTGAAATCACTGAGCGTTTTAATTTCTCATTTATGAGAAGTCAAGCCAGTATTCTGATCCATCTCTTTGACTATTATTCATTGTAGCTGTGTATTTAGTTTTTTTTTTTTTATTAGTTGTTTATGTTTCTTTTGTCATCGGAAATTCTACACTGGCATGAATTGGGACATGGGACTGTATCTCATTGAACAGAACTTGGGACATGTGACATTATCTTAATGAGCATGAACATGGGACATGGACATTATCTTTGAGCATGAATGACTGAGCTATAGTTGTTGCATACATGGACTTTGGAGCAATATCTTCCGTGAAAAATTGAAGGTGGTTTTAGTGATAATCTGGTATATTGATTTTTAACTTTTGATTGGATAAATGATGTGGTAATTAAACTGCGTTATCTTCCTGCAATTTCCTATTATAAAGGGATTGAAGAAAATTAAGTTGCACTGATATCCAAGTAACCTGGTGTATTTTTACAAGTTTGTGTTGTCTTGTCAAACAAAAGAGAATTGGGCATCAATGAAGAGTAAAATCCTATGTTATCCTTGCACATTGATATACAGTGATGAAATTATGGGGGAATTTGATCTGAGATGCTTTGAGTATTTTATTTCCTTGTTGATTTTACAGTATTTTTTCTACTATCAATTTTTATTAAATTTTTTTGCTACTAATATATTAAATGTGACGGAGATTTGTCCGAAAATCTCATTTTCATACTAAAAATTGGGGCAAATTTGTTTGTTAATATTTGTAAATCCCAAATTGGAACGTCACAAAGTAAGTTAACTTGATGTTGAGAATCCTTCTGGGTTTTCCGTCAATTTAACGGTTAACGGTTTCATATTCCATGATCTTGAGTAGCGGCGTTGCCGCAATTATCTGTTGGGTCAGGCCATGAGAGTCAACATTCCCTCGTATTTTATAAAAATTTATTTTCTGAAATTATGATTTTCAAATTGTTTTTGTTTTCTTATTTCTAACTGTTGTTACTGTACATTCTATGGAATTTAAAATTTTAGTATAAGTTGCAAATGATGATAAAACTAGACAGGGACATCAGAAACTCTTCGGAGTACATTTGTGTTGATTTGTCTTAAGATGGGAATCTCTTTGATGCACTTTAAATCAATCTAATTTATCTATGGCAACAAATTAGAGTCTCTGGTTCGCTTTGTTAATAGCGTCTTTAGCGCTTTACGTTGCCGATACTAGTTTGGAATAAGACATTCTGGCATTTCCATGTTTTTCAATGGTTGATGCATTCAAATGTTTCTACATTTCATCAATTAAGATTTATGTAGTAGTATCTGGAATAGTTTTTTTTTTTTTTTTTTTTGTGCTAGAGTGATCTGTGTTGAGGAGATGGAAGTGATGATTATTTCCCCAGATGATCGAAGTTGAAATCACTGAGCGTTTTTAATTCTCATTATTGATAATTCAAGCCAGAATTCTGATCCATCTCTTTTTCCATTTTTAATTGAAGATCTGTTAGGTTTTGTTTGTTACTGTATGTTTTTCTATGTGATATAATATGTCACCAAGTCTCGGTACTTCAGAGGCACGACTCAGGGATACGAACATTATCTATCAAGGTTGGGTATCAGGACTTGAGATGGACATTGCAGGATTTTTAGTGTATACAGTGTAGGAAGTTTGAAATACTATGAGTGTTCTGACGTCTCGGACCTCGGTGTCTAGTTCTGCTTAAGGGGCCCTGATGATTAGTCCTTGGATCATATTTCTGTGAGCAAATGTACGTGCATAACCTGAAAAATGAAGAGATGTTGCTTTGAAGATAGCAGCATGTTTCTCACTCTTTAGGAGTTTGTTCTAGTTTCATTAACTATGTTTACTTACTAGGAAGTTCACTAAGTAATGAAGTGTGAAGTATCTTCAGTTGGGCTAGTGTTCTGATATCTTGGACTTTGGTGTCTAATTTTGCTTAAAGATTCAATTGCTAATGATGATCATTTTCTGTGAGCAATAGTACATGCATAATCTGAGATCTTGATTTGAACATCACTAGCATATTTCTCCTCATTAGGAGGTTGTACTTGATTACTTATTTATTATGATAATTCAATTCATTTGTAGTTGTTGGTTTACTTTGACATGGACATCAGAAGCTTTAAAGTGAGTATTTTATGTCGGAGTTGTGTTTAATGGAATTTCTTTGATGTACTGTTTGTTTATAACTTAATCTTTTGTTATCTGTGTTCTCTTCTGTCCTTACCTTTTCGACTTGCTCTGTAAAGCACAACACCCATATTTTTTTGGCAACACTTAAATGAAACAAATTAATTTAGGCTAATAAAAAGAATGATTTGAGTGTTTAATTCATTAGTAGAAGGCGATTTTACTTAATTATAGATTCAAATTAAACTAACTTGTATATTAATCAAATTAATGTGGGGCTTGTGGCCTATGAGTTATATTTTGAATATGTTTTGTATTCTAATTTCTCAGGGTCCATGTTGATGGTCCTTGTCCTCCTTGATACTTCAAGCATTTAATAAAGTTGATGGTCGAAATAGATTTCCAAGATGAAGTCTTGAATATACACTTCGTGCACAACATACCTGCGGTGCTTTTTCGAAGGAACTAGAGTGTTCAGTATGACATGGCGCACATTAAGCATTCAATTTTTATTCATATTGAGGCATGACATGGAGGCCAACAATGTTTAACCTTCTTGAAAAACTTTTCATATGCGTAACCTCTCTATAATAATGTTCAGTTTAATGGAAAACTCTTCATATATATATAACCTCCCTATTTAATTTTTTTTGTAATTCCTTAGTAATTGTACAATAATAAATTTAATTAGCAAGTAATTAATTGCACTAATGTGGTGATTCATTGGATACTCATACTTTATATTCAATAAGCATCAAACAATTTTACTAAGTAATATTTCATCATTTATTATTTGATTTTATAAACGTAAAATGAATAAAATTGAGATGTTATTAATCTGATCTTATTCTTTTGTTTCTCTAACTCATACTTCCATTAAAAGAAATTGTATGCTAAAAGTTTATGTTTTCGTACTTTTTTCTTCTATCTTTTGTATTGGCTTGGGTTTTAGCATGTGCCTATATATAATTTATAGGTCTCATTCATAATACACGTACAAGTAATACAGTTTCAATTACTCTTATGAGTAAGTGTGTATAATTTATATTTGAAGGTAGTAAGTTTCAATTATTCTCATCTCTTACATCGAAGATAATACGGATTTTTCATCATATACCACTGAGTTAATGCATAATTCATCATATACCACACGAAACTTTCTAATACACCAAATACCACTGAGATTTTGGTAAATGTCACAACATGCCCTTTTCGTTAACTCAGTTTGTCATTAACGTTAATTGTGCCACGTGATAGCTTGTAATTGGTTCTTATTAATATTATTTATTTAATTAATTAACTTTAGAAAAATTATTTTAAAAAATAAAATAAAAATTAAACACCACCAACTTAGCCACCGCCGCCCCCAGCCTAACCCCGACCCCCACCCCTGGCTAGATGGTAGGCGACCATTTCCCCCCGCCGGCGACATTCTCGACCCCTTCCCCTGACGCCGATGACCATCCCACTCCTACTTCCCTTCCCTGAAAACCATCCCCCACCTGTAACCCCTCCCCTGCCGGAAGCTTCCCCAATTCTTGATTTCTCAATTCCCGATTCTCTAACCCAATTCCCGATTTCCCCGCCGGCGACATTCTCAACCCCTTCCCCCGACCCCGGTGACCATCCCACTCATACTCCCCTTCCCCGAAACCATCCCCCACCTGTAACCCCTCCCCTTACTTGACCCTAATCCTCAACTCCACCCTTTACATGACCCGAATTCCCAATCTCACCCCTTAACTAACCAGAGATTGCGAAGATGACATAGGCTTAGTGGTGAGGTGAGGAAAGAGGAGAGAGGAAGGGTTTCGGTAGAGAGTGATGGGGACTTCAATTCAGATGGGGGTATGGTTGTTCACGGGAGGGGGGCCGCACCGATGCGACAAGGTGGTCGGAGTTTGACGGAGAAGGCGCAAGGTGGTCGAAATTTGACGGAGAAGGCGCAAGGTGGTCGAAATTCAACGGGGAAGGGAAGGGGAGTTGGAATCTGGCCTGGAAGAACCATAACCTTCGATCTCCGGAAGCGGCGTAAAGGGAGTAGTATTGGTGGTTGAAATTGGGCTACTATTGTTGGGCGGAGTTGCGGGCTGGTATTGTTGGGCGGAGCGGCGGTGCCGGCGAAGGGGAAGGTGGTCTGTGCGCCGGCGGGGTTAGGGGGCAGGCTAGGCTTGGTGGGGAGTAGTTGAGGGTTGTCGGGGTGGGAGGGTACGGTGGATATGGGTTGTGTGTTTTTTTTTAATAAAGTTTTTTAATTCTTTATTTAAGTAATTAATTAAATAATATTAATAAGAGCCAATATGTGACAGCCACGTGGCACAATTAACTTTAATTACTAACGGCGTTAATGGCAGACTAACGACAGTTACCAAAAAAAGTATTTTGTGTTAATATACATTAGCTCAGTGGTATTTGGTGTATTAGAAAGTTTCATGTGGTATATGGTGAATTATGCATTAACTCAGTGGTATATGGTAAAAAATCCGAAGATAATATTTTTTAGGTGGCACGTTGCAATTATAATTGATCCGGGCCCAGCAAATAACTAGTTTCTCATTCAAATCATCTATGTTAATACCCTTAGTACCGTTACTTTTCGAATGACTTGGATACATCCTTCTACATGCATCTGTTTAATGTTTCATCTTATATGCATCCCTCTTATGGGTCCCTTGATTGGACATCCAACCGATTTACCGGAAAATAAAAATTAGAGGGTAATGATTCTTGAAAATATTTTCTTTTACTATTTAATGAATTTTCAATAGTTTATATATGTTTAAATTAAAAAAAAAAAACCCTACTATTTTTATATTTTCAATAAAATATCCTTTAACTAGGTGAAATTTATATATTAAAAATACACAAAACAATTTATAATGTAAAATCATATTACTTGTTTTTTTTTTTTTTTTTTTTTTTTTTTTTTTTTTTTTTTTTTTTGAAGACTAAAATCATATTACCTAAATATATAGGTAAATCCAAGTAAGGTTTTAACAATAAAAGTTTAATTCATCCTTTCAAAAAAAAAAAAAAAAAGTTTAATTCATTGATTTTGCAACATCTTCATTGACTATGTTACATTGTTAAATATTTTAGTTAAATATTTGCATTTAGTCAATTTATTTATTTTAGAATTAAATACTCCGTAACAGCAATAGTGCAATATTCCTTCAACACCTAAAAGTAATAGTTACTTACATACTTTTCCTTTTTATGTTCTTTGAACTCTTACACACGTTTGACTATTATTATTCTCTCTGTGTTTTATAAGTGTTACACTTTTTTTTTTTTTTTTTGGTAAAAAGTTACATTTAAATATAATATCTCTCTTCTTTCATGGTCCCCACCCAAACCCACTATTAATTTTTTTTTATTATTTCTTTCCTCTTACATTCATTGCTTTTCAATAAACTATTAACCCCACTATCTTTCTTTTACATTTTTTTAATACTCCAACTACCCCACTTACCTTTTATTTTATTTAAGTCAATTATATTGCCTAAAACTATGTGCCGGTTAAAGTGTAACACTTATTAAAACACGAAGGAAGTGTATATGTTCAAAGATCCAAGATGATTACATTATGTTTTATATTGAATTTTTTTTTTTTTGGTGAAGTTAAAAGTAACTTTATATATTCTCCCATCTAGCTTATTTCAAATGAGAAGAACAAAATTAAATAAAGGAAGTATTTACATGACAATTCTAAAAACGGGCTATTGAATTCAATAGGATAATCTGTAAATAACCACCATTCAATATATACTACTTAGAAATACCCACCCATTTTTCAATATTTTAAAGGAGCCCACTTCTTTTTTATTTTATTTTATTTTATTTTATTATTTCCCCTCCTTTTTTCTTTACTTTTTCATGATTCTTTTTTTTGTATGCCGCTGCTGCATAGCCTGCATTCACCTACACTAGAGAGTACCCGTGTAAAATGCACGGGATATATATTTAACAAAAATATATTAAATAAATCTAGTATTTACAACATATTCCTCATACAATTACTAGTTATACCTCAACTTCATTCCCTCTCTTTTTCTCTAAAACGATCAAGAGTTGTCCAATTTGATGATTATTCAACGACTTATTTCACCCACATACAAGAAACCCTAAAGTATTTACTTTCTACCTCAAATAATTTTATGAACATTATATATGTAAGATGACAAGGAACCCTATAAAGTGCAGTGTGACACCGTTTTAAGTTAGAAATCAAATTACTAAACCTATTTGGTGCACTATGTGAGATATATGTTTATTTTATTGCTCATTCTGTTTCTCCACAAAATAAAAGTATAAAGACTTGTTCGATCATTATCTTATTCATTTTTCCTTAGCTTGGTATATGTAAAATAGAAAGAATATCATGAACGATGGTAGTAAATCATCAATATTTTTTTCTTGGCTTTTATAGTTGTATCTTAAGATTAGTTAACTTTTATCAATGAACTCCCTAATTGTAATAACATTAAAGAAGAGAATTCATATTAGACCTCCTTAATTAATCTTAGAGATTCAAAACATCAACTTTATGTCTTTATAATTGGGATAAACATGCACATGGGGTTGTTATGTAGAAAATTACAAAGACAATTAACTCATTGGTTGAAATTATATTAGCAAAAGTGAATGACTCAAAGACACCTAATTGTGAGTCCAAATTAACGGATGTCTTTGTTAAGAACGTTAGTTACGCAACTTCAAAATCATTTTAAATCTTTTTAAGGACACCATAATTTGCTTGTTCTAGCTCTTTCTTTAGTAACGGCAAGGTTAAAGAAATTGTATGCACTTTTATTATTCTTCTTTCATTAGATTGGCCTGGGCCGAGTTGATTTAGATAAAAACAAATACTGTATAATGTAGTACGAGTACAATGAATTTTAGAGGCTTGGTCAATTTGTCACCTAACTCTTTTTTTCCCTATTTTGTTTGTCAGTCAACTTTAAACATT